GCCTAAATGTAGCATCATTTTCTTGTTCTTTCATGCTGGCACTTCGAAGTAAAGTGCAGTGAGGATAGTGGGAAATTGCTGAGAGACCACCTGAATCTCAGGTTCCAGGGACTGGGGTGGTTTCACTTACCCAAAGAAGAGAAGAGTAGCGCAGCCAGGATAGGACTGGGACTGGAAGAGGGAGCCCCAGGAGCCATGGCTAGGGCAGGGGCTAGGGCCCAGAGCATCTGTGGAGAGTGTGGGGAACTGAGAGGGGGTTCCTGGAACCTGCTTAAAATCCCCTGGGGCTCCATCATGAGGGGGCTGTCCTGAGCCAGTAACCAATTGCAGCCTGGCATGTGCAATTGAGAGGTGGTGGGGAGGGGGGCAGGGGGCAGGGAGCAGAAGGGGCATTGTATACTCTGGGTGGAGGGGTGGGGGGGGACACATACCACCCCATACACAGAGGGCTTTGTATCTACTGACCTCCCCCTACCCTAGGCTGGAATGTTGGGGGGGGTGAGGGAGAGGGACAGAAAAAAGGACAGACATTTCTGTGGGATAGATAAGCAGGGAAGCCTAAATCCAAAGGCCATGGAAAGGGATTCCTTCTTAGCTTCCTTGTCTGAGAGCCCTAGGACTTAGAGGCAAGTTCCTCTCAGAGAACTCCCAAATTAGGATGTCCCTTATTAGTTTGAGTACCATGAGCTGCACTATAGACTACTTCAGATGACCAGGTCCTTTGGGAATAACTTTTTCTATCTCTCTGCATCCTGGGAGATTCTCCTCAGGTAGAAGCTTTTCTCTGCTGGAAAACTTCCAGGGAAGAAGCCGCAGACTGTTCCTTCATTGTTAGGAAACCCTTCGATGCCTTGTGATGCAGTTTAAGTAAAGCTCAGTTTAGAGCAAGACAGCAACACTGTACTGCATGCTGGTTATATATAAAGTATGGGAATGCCAGTATTTGAATAATAGTAATTTGGTTCTTCCTTCAAGTTCAAAATCTAGTTTGAGGAGGCAGAGGAGGGGCCAGAAGACAAGCTCATCAGCAGCCAATTATGATAAACTACGATTTGTTTTACTAATAAACAAAACGTTGGGAGTACCACACTCAGCCACTGCAACAGTAAGGTTAGTTCTATGAAAGATAGCTTTCACTTAATAAATGAAGTTCAGAGGAAGAGGCAGTCAGGTCTAGGAGGCAATGTTATATACGGACCTTGAAGGAGGACTGCCATTTTGAAAAGGGGAATGGTTAGGGAGCATGGCCAGATAGAACAGCAAGAATAGAAGAGAGGTGAAAAGAACGTGTGTGTGTGTGTGTGTGTGAGACGCGACTGTGAAACTCTGAGCATGCTTCTAGCAGATAACGTTCCATACACCTTTGATTTGATTTGGGGGGGCACGAAAGGGTACAGTAGGAAACAAATCTGAACAGGAAGGTTGAGGGCCTTAAATGACAGACTAAAGAGGCTGGATTGAATCTGGTACATTGTAAAGCAGCTCCTAAAGATTTGAGGGGCTGGAGAGATGGCTCAGCAGTTAAGAGCACATACTATTCTTGTAATGGACCTGAGTTTGGCTCCCAGCACCCATGTCAAATGGCACACAATTGTCTGTAACTCCAGCTCTAGGTGATCCAATGCTCTATTCTGGACTCCATGGGTACCTGTACTTACACACGCTCGTACTCCCCCCTCCCCCAAAGATTTGGGAAGTGGAGTTAGAGATGGGAAAGTCAGCTGTAGTTTATGCCTGTAATCCTAGCACTTGCGAGAGAAAAGCAAGGAGCATCTGGAGTTCAAGGCCAACCTGAAGAGACAAAGAGATGTTCAGAATATGTACATTACCAGAGTTCAGTTCTAAGACAAATCTGGCCAGCAAAGCCTTTCAGAGTTGTCCGGATTGCCTCTCTACCTAGGATCATCAAAAATGATTATGTTCTTCATTGAAAATGCCATTTTCTCTTCTCTTCCATTTCTCTCACTTTAGACCTTAGACTCTGTTTCTTCCTGCGTATTTTAAAGATAAACTGTGTTGATAAACAGCTTGGCTTAATGTTTGCTCTGAATTTCAACCTGGCTTTTTGAATTTCTGTCAGCTATAGCATACATTCTAGTACTTGAGTGAAGTCTTTGTTGTTTCAGCTTGTTTGTCTGTTTGTGTGTTTAAGACAGGTTCTCCATATGTACCCCTGGTTGATCTGAACACACTATTTTGATCAGGCTGGCCTGGAATATGTGGTGATCAGCCTCCTGAGTGCTGAGATTACAGGCATGTACCCCCATGCCAAGCTTGTTTCAGCTTATGAGACAGTATAGGCACATCTATATAAAGCCAAGAGTCTCTTGGTAACTGCCTTGCACCTTAGACCATAATTCTGGGTGAGTTTGGTGATTAATATTAGATTTTGGTAATGGAGCTCTAAATAGTGTTTGATCATAAATTCCATGGGCAAAAATCATCATGAGTAAATGTTTAAAGGATGTAGTCAATAGTCCTACCTAACCTTACCTCCTCCCACTTTCTCCTGTCTTTTTTTTTTTTTGGTCTTTTTGAAGACAGGGTCTCCTTGTAGCCCCAGCTGTCCTGGAACTCATTATGTAGACCAGGCTGGCCTCACAAAGATCCACCTCCCTCTGCCTCCCAAGTGCTGGGATTAAAGGCATGAGCCACCACAACTGGCCCTTCAAGATTTTTGTTTGTTTGTTTTGTCTTTTTGTGTCAGGGTCTCCCTATAGCCCAGCTGCCCATCTGGCTTAGAACTCACTATGTGGACCAGGCTGGCCTCGATCTCAGAGCTCTGCCTGCCTCTGCCTCCGGAGTACTGGGATTAAATATGTGTGCCACTATGCCCCGCTAGATTTTACTTAAAAAATTTTTATTATTATTTTTTTATGTGTATGAGTGTATTGTGTGCATGTGAGTGCACCCGTGTCGTGCAATGCCACGGGGGTCAGAAGGGGGCGTCGGATTCCCCTGGAACTGGAGTTAAGGACGATTCGTAGTCACCATGTGGGTGTTGGGACTCGAACCTGGGTCCTCTGCAAGAGCCAGCTGTCCTGCAACTCACTATGTAGACCAGGCTGGCCTTGAACTCACAGAGACCCGCTTGCCTTTGCCTCCCAATGCTGGGATTAAAGGCGTGTGCCACCACGCCCGGCAACAATAATTTTTTAAAGTAGGTTTCTTCCTATCTCTGGAGACTGGCCTCAAACTCATGATCCTCTTCCCTCAGTCTACCAAGTGAAACATTTTTTGAGGTGTCCATCACTGATTATTTTGCTGCAATCCTAAAGATGAAGGCAATTCCTATACAGGATAGTGGGTTGGATGAGAAAACCTCTAAGGTTCCTTCCAATTCCTAAAGTCCATGGGAGTGCATTTCCTTGTCAAGCTACAAAAATGCAAATAGCTTTATTCCTTTGCTGCAGAGGGGAAAAAAGAAAATTTGTGCTATTTAAATCCTGAAGGGAACAAAGCAGGAGAGTGCTAAATATAAATGAGATCTGA